ATCTAGTACCTTAGATCAATCAAGACTGGACGTGTTATAAACAATGTGTCTCCCAACAAGTTTTTCCAAAAATATTAGTTTAAAATGTTTCTTCAGAATTAAAGCAATCTAGTCCCCAAGTCACACATGTCTTTGAAAGCTATACTGTCTTGTTTATGAACAAAATTTAAAAAAAGATGCATGATTCTGTGGTCTGGTAACTCATAAAATTTGCTCTTCCACAAATTTTCTTGGCATCTCTGTTTGACATCTTTGTGGCTTTCACACAATAACATTAGGATATAGGTGTCTTCTTTTCAGTCAATATAGAATTATGGACTCAGGGCTGGGTGGGGAATTAGGAACTATCCAAGTCTCATTTTACAAAAATGAAGCCATGAGTTAAGAGATTATAGTTAGAAGCTACTATTACATCAAAAACAAGGGAGAATCTTCTTATTAGGACATCTTTATAACTATTGGCCTATAAATGGATCCCTATGCATTTCTCAGGGTATGAGATTGTCAGAGAGTGTGAACATCAGGGAAAAATTTCACTGTTCACAGCAATGTCTGAGAAATATTAGCCAAAACTCTAAAGAGTAGTAGGGAAGAATAAGGAAATCAGAGTCTAATAAATCTGATGCCTAACCTCTACTAAATATAAACCTCTGCTTTTTGTATAAAATGAAAAAATAATAGTCTTCTCAGATTAGAAACATTACATAAATTCTAAGTCTTAAGATAACTTTCTGAGATGAAAATTACATAACTTCTGAAATAAACTAGGGATTCGTCCAAATTCTGACTTTATTACAGATCCTGTAACAGTAAAGTTGCACCAGAAGCAATCAGAAGTGAGGTACACAGCAGTTAAGAGGTCAGGCTCTGGATTTATACAAGGCTTGGATACTCATCTACCATGCTAAGCCTTATTTTCCTCATCAATAAAACAGAAATAGTTACAGCACCTACTTCATACTTCTTTAATAGAGTTACTCAGCAGGTTAACCTGAAATCAAGTATTCAGAGGCCATGGGCACACTATCTATGCTATACAACCCAATTAGGAAGTTTGCACAGAAAAGAAGTAAATGTGAAGATTAAATGTACCAGTGTACATTATTCTTTCACCCATTCATTATATAATTCTAGACTGTTGTTATGTACAGGCACTGTGGGAAGTGAGGTGATAATGGTGAGCCAACAGACCTGACAAAGTATACAGTCTACTGGGGGAAGATACCTATTAAACAGACAAACAAATAATTCAAACCCTGGTTAGAGCTGCAGAGGGGTAGAGTGTTATGAGATGTTTTCAGAGAGACATGACAGGTCTGGAGAGGTCAAGAAAGGCCTCTCTAAATATATCACATCTGAGCTGAACTCTGATGGATGGATGATTCAATGTTGACAATGCTGGGGAGATAGATGGTGGAGAAGAATGTTCCCTACAGAACAATGTTCCAGGGAGAGGGAACAGAATCAGTACAAGCGAAGGCCCTGAGATGGGAAGAAGGATGATACTCTTTAACAAACTGAAAGAAGAAAACTGGACAGTGGGAATAAGTATGGGAATGGTTCAAGGTGTGACTGGAGTTGCCAGGTGTGGCCAGGTCATACAGGCCTTAGTGGAGGGGTTTAAATCACGGAAGCGAAATGATCAGATTTGCATGCTTTAAAAAAGTTCACTCTGGAGGCACCATGATGAACATCTAGATGGGAGGGGGTAAGAGTATATGGGGACATTAGTTTGACTTGTTAGCCTATTTCCACATCCGGGTGAGAAATGATGGTGCCTTGGATGTGTCTCATGAATAGGAAAAAAAAGCAGATTTAAAGAGTTACATAAAAGCAAAGAGCTTGCTCTGGTTTCTGGGTCTAATAATTACGACTTAAACAATGGAGCCAAAGAAAAACACATTAGATGATTCTCAACCTGGAAAGCAAGACTGCAAATTATAACCACAAAAACAAAGATCTAGTGTCTCCCAGATATCAGAAATGGTAACCTGGATATTTGAGGCTTCCAAGGCAGGAAGATAAAGGAGAAACACACCCTCAGCAGGGACTCTGGAGCGGCACTCCAGGACCCCGCCTAGAGACTAAGCCTCAGGTGGAGCAGTGAGGTAGACACCTGCTCACACCAGTTTCCTCTCACAGATGTACACAGACTGGGGTGTTAGGTGAGGTCTGCATGAGGGGAAGGAAAGACAGAACTGGTATAGGTGAGTTTCTCTGTCACTTGTTGTGGGACTCTGCACCTTTTAAATTAGGTCATATCCTATAAAAATTTATTATTCTACACAGCCTTCTTGGGCATTCACAGAACAAGAGAAAAACAAAGGAGGAAATGAAAAAATAATCCATTTTATCTCAGGTTAAGTATCTCTTCTGGAAGAATATATTTAATCCAGCAAATATTAACATATAAGTAAACCAAGCACAAGTCATTTGTAGGATAAATATTTGTATACATTCCTCCTTATATTAACTTAGGTTAATTTTCTTACAGAGGGATTAATTCCTAGCAAATAGATTATCCACATGAGGTTTATACTTCTGTTGTCAACAATTATTTCTTTACATGTGGTATTCTTAACAGCTCTTATTCCTTTTGACATGTAATTATGTCATGTATTATACTATTTAAATGTCTTGTGTGATTATAAACTATCTCTTTGATTAAAAATGTAAGATATAGGCTAATTTAAAAGGTAGGATTTATCTTATTCTTCATTTGCATCTGTATAATCTGGCAAAATAATAAGATTTAAATAGTTTTTATTGCACTAATTACTCCAAATAATTGATATTTGACATGAATAAACTTAATTTCTATTAAATGCATGTATTCAGTGTGGGCACAGGAAGGAGAAAGTATGATACTTAACTAAATCATAGCAGATGCAATGGGAGAATAGGCAAGAAAGTCGAAGATACTAGCAACAGAGGTTAAAACGGTAGATCATTTAAGGCTGATGAAGAAAAGAAGTAGGAAATTATTTTCTGTAGCTCTAAATTTTTCTCATGTGAACACAGGAACATTGGTGGAACACATGACACCAATGATTCCTAAAGAGATGAGATATGAATAAGAAAATTAGGAAATGCTGGGTATCTAAGTTAAGCTAGTTTCTTTACTGATGGACTAAGCGGAGCCTTTTCTATATGGTACTCTGTAGTGTGAAATCTCTAGTAAGGATTCAGAATATATAATATTGACCCAGGCACCTTTAATTAATATGTCCTTTCCCAAGGAGTATTTCATGCTATAGTTTGGGATATTTTAGGCTTGTGAAAAATTCTGAGATTCCTAGAAGGACATGTAGGCAACAGTCTGTAGAGATTTATTATGACAGTCATATTACATCCTACCTTTTCATCCTTCCTAATCCTTTTATGTACCTAGCTATAGATCATTCCTGAAACTTAGAAATGGAGAAAATAGGGAAACCTAAGAAAAATCTGGAGAACAAAGGTTCACCCAGCTAAGGCTCCATCTTGCTGTCAGAGATATTTCCTGCTAAACATGGAGCTACATTTCTCCATTCATGGATGTAAGCAGAATCCAGTCTGTCTCTACTGACTCAGTCCTGCAGCTTCCCACAGAGAAAATCCTAACAAAATGATGAGAGTTTTTTCACTGTCCTGCATAATAGTTTATGTTATATAGCATTATTTCCTTTTGAAACAAGATTAAGATGCAACACACATCAAATGTTAATTAAATATTTTAAGTCTCACAAGAGTGTACTTTTTTACATATGTGAATGAATCCAAATGCTGTATTTTTGGGATAAATTAGAATTTTGTATAAAATTATTAGGTTAAAAATTATAGCAACTAGCTTTAACCGTTAGTGACAAAAGGTGTAGCAAATTATTGGCATTAAAATTTAAAATTTACCTCTTTCACTGGCATCATCTACTAGAACAATTTCTTCTATCATGTGTCTTGGTGAGCGATTAATGACACTATGGACAGTTCGCAGAAGTGTGCTCCAAGCCTCATTGTGGAAAACAATCACCACACTTGTTGTAGGAAGATTATCTGGATACACCTTTGTTTTACACCTAGAGACAAAGCAAATGCCTTTATAAAAAGTGACTGTTAAGATTGCATAATAAAGGAATCTGGACTAGAAGGGGTGATAGAACAATAAAAGCAGTTTGCTCTAGGGGTGGGATCCTTGGTACCTTTTTATTTAAGTCTTGGTTAATGTTACGTGTTTAATAAATAGCACCTATTTAAAATGATATATTTAGATTAAAATTATTTCAAAGATGTCATTTATATTCTTAAAATTAGGTACTTCTTCCTGATGAATGTTTTCAGGTGATTCACTTTAATAGAGAATGAAATAAAGCTATCTACCCAAAACTGACTGTACTTCAAGGACCCTATTAGACAAAAAATCAGAACCACTGGAGTTTACATAGTTTAATAATCTAAACAAAAATATGCCTTCCAAAAAAGAAGATAAATATTTAGTGACTACCTATCATGTACCAGGCTCTTAATCTTCCTAGTCATTCTGTAAGACAGATACGTGCAGCCACATTTCACAGATGAGAAACAGGGCAGGGATAGCGAGGAGGCAGCAGAATCTGACTGAAGACTCCACAGCCCATGCCCTGCTGCTCCAATTCTTGCTGCTGCCACCTCCATAATTAAATATCAACATGTACCTCGTTCAGTAAAGACTATTTATGCCTGAGCATGCAATCATCAGAAATACCAAACACACTCAAAAGATATGCACACGAAATCCACACAATAATTTTATGTTTCTAGCACTTTGTTAGGCAACATGGTCTCTTTTTCAACCTTGTTAGCTAGATAAAATTACTAGATAACAGCCTATTAGAGAAAGTAACAGCAGTAAGTAACCTGAGATCAAGAGATGTGCTTTAGAACGTAAGCCCGCTCTAAACAGTGCGTATGTAATTCTCTCCCAGGTATCCCCAATTTTCTAACAGTTGCTCCACCCTCCTCTTTCTTCCTTTATTCCCTGCTCTCTCTCAAGCTCCTCAAACTTTCCACTCCCCAGTCTCAACTGTAATCGCCTGTCAGTGGGAGTGAAGAAAGGGAAGGACGGGGAGGAAATGAAGAAAACACAAACAAGACTCCTCTTCTGAAGCTGCTGAAATAACTCTTCTTATTGAACACTCTACCCTAGGGCTGCCGGCTGGCAGTTGGAAGAAAAGGAAAAAGGAAGGGTAAAAAGATGACAAGGTAAAAGGGTTGAAAGAAGAAGTCACCACAGGGGCCCCATCAGCCCTTGTCCTTTCTCTCTCCCAGGAGACAAGGAGCAACAAGTAGCTGTTCCTGTCCTTCGATATATTCCACTGCAGCCCCTCTCTCCCTCTTCACCACTCCCAAGACCCCTTTCACAGGATGGTCTCCATCTCCTACTACCAGTAACCTCCTCTCTACCCACAGCCTCATTTCCACTTCACTGCCCACTCCCTATGTTCACTCTAACAACCACAAGAAGGCCCACACAGCCTGCCACCCTGTCTGCAGCTCCCTCCTTCCAAGTCTAGACTAAAGAGGTGGGGCCCAAAAGACTAGGCGAGAGGGGAAAAGATGTGTTCTCAGCAGTACTAATAATACTTCTGAAAATAGTTTCCCATCAAAACTCTGTTATAAATGGTGGCTACAATATTTATGTATTATAATTAGTACTAGTTTCAGGTACATCATAGCTGAGCAAGCTATATGTTGAATTCCTGATGCACAGACTCCTGGAATAAGACTCTGAAGTCAGGAATGGCCTATGTATGGGTAAAAGGGAGTCAGAAAAAGAGTTTCTTATATTATTTAGCTGAATCTTATTATGCCACATACAATCTCTTTTCCCAAGTGAATCCTACTTATTATTATCGTAGAATTGGGAAGCAGGAAACAGCCAAAGTGGCCATGTAGTTGCTACCTTACCAAAATAAAGTAAAATAATAAAATCAAGTGATGCACGAAAGATGTATAGTGTACAAATGGTACTGTTAGCCATGTCTATGGCTAGGAAACAGAAAGGAAGACAGAAAAATGTGGAGACACCAGGTTCTGCAGAAGAGAAGTGATAACCCAAATTTACTATTTGTATGATATGTTAAAGAATAAAATTCTAAAACTGTATGGGAAGGAAGTAAGATTATAAGAGTATAAGAACACTAGAAAGAAATTGGATGGAAGAATCAGAGGGAGAAGCAATATTACGAGCCTTCAGAAGGACAGATGATAAAAATGAAATAATTTTTTAAATCAAATGGTTAATCAGAGGCCATAACGAGTTCATAAAAGTTAATATTCTCTCAAAGCAAATGAGAAAACATAGAGAAAATATTAAACAACCATAATTAACCTCAGAACAGGTACAAAAACACACAAACACACACCCCTAACCTGGAAGAGTCACAAGGTACTTGAGAAGAACCAAAGAGCCTTTTAGCATTCTAGCTAAGCTTTTCCAATCAAGAAACCACCTGTCCTTTTGTGTTTCAGGGTTTGAGGTGGGTAGGGGGACCGGTTCATAGAACACAGAGCTGAGGATGAGGAGAAAGGCCACAGACCATGTTCAGGAAGCAGCTTTCTTCCACACTGGCCCAAGTAAGACTTTTATCCTCAGTTATGAAAACTAGCCAGTGTAAGTGCTAATTT